TAAAAAACTGATTTTTAATTTTCAAAAATTTAGGTAAATTTACTCAAAAGTTAATTTATGAATTGTACATATAATGTCTGAAATCCTATTAAAACCATTGCATTATATATTTAAATTTATATAAGTAAAAATTATATATAATAAATAATGGGTTTTATTTTTTATCACACTTACATTATGTCATATTCCTATAATATGTTATATATAAAAGTTAAAAATACCATTCTAAATCTTTTTTGATATATTAAGAAAACTTGTAGAGCAGTCAAAAATACACATAATATAAAGTTTTTTATAGTATATAGTAAATGCATAAAGTTTCATGCTAGAATTTTTTAAAAAATGAAAAATTTTAATAAAGTTATGTGATAAAAATGATTGACATAATTAATATATAAAAATTACTAAAAAAGAAAGATGCAACATATCGCAAGTGCAAAAAAAAACATATTTTATAAATAATATAATAACAGATAAATTTTATTAATTAAAATTTTTAAAGGACCCCGGATATCTAATATAAAGGTCATAATGGACTTTTGGCCAAAAACACCCCTTTTTGCTGAAACTCAAAAAATCGTTTTTTGTAAATATCTCAGATGGGCCAATCTGCCAAAAGTGCTGTCTCTTATACACATCTAGATGTGTATAAGAGACAGATGCCGAGATATTTACAAAAAACGATTTTTTGAGCCCCTGAAAAATGGGCCAATCTGCCAAAAGTGTGACTTATGACCTGTTTTGGAGATATCCGGGGTCCTATTTTTAAATTAGTAAATTTTAAATATATACCTTATATTTTTATAATAATAATTTTTTATTTTTTATGATAAATGAAATCAATTTTTAAATAGATTTTTATTAAATCTGTAATAAATATTAAATTTCTATAAATTTAGAATAATAATATACATATATCTATTATTATAAGAAAAATAAATCTAAAAATCCAGTTTAACTATACTGTATTTTTATAAAAAAAATTTATACTTAAAATATATTTAAATTTCTTTAAAATATATTTTAAAATATACTGAAAATTAAAATTGGAAGGAATTGATTACATCTTTCATTTGCCAATCATCTGACCATTTTTTTAACAGAAGTTGCTAAAGGAAAAACTTGGTTTTTCTCACTTAAATAGTTGTAGAGTACTTTTAGTTTTATTTATAGACTTTTTAGAGATTTTTTAAAACTTAAACAAACCTTTAACTTCTAGTTTTGATAACATCAGGAAATTTGTTTAGGCATAATTTTGTGTAATATTTCGAAGGTGGTGTAAAATTTCGAAATATTACACTAAAAACGGAATATTACAAAAGTTTACGCTCTTAAATTTAAATAATTATAGTAATTCAAGAATATCTCGCTATCTACTGATCCAATCAAGACGATCTATAGCTCATTGGAATCAGCTCATCAAGACGAATCGAATGGTAGTAAATCGCATTTCTACGGTTGATAGAACGCTCTATAGTATACAATAAAGTTTTAAATTAATAGAAAGCCATCTATCGAACGTAAAGATACGATTTTACCACCATTCGATTCGTTATGATGAGCTGATTCCAATGAGCTATAGATCGTCTTGATTGGATCAGTAGATAGTGAGATATTCTTAAATTACTATAATTATTTAAATTTAAGAGCGTAAACTTTTGTAATATTCTGTTTTTAGTGTAATATTTCGAAATTTTACACCACCTTCGAAATATTACACTAAATTACGCCTAAACAAATTTCCTGATGAAAGTTACTTAACTTGGAGCAGTTTTTATCAAAGATAATTTTACTTTTGTAAAACTTATTGAGTTTCTGAAAGTTGTAATAGTTATACATTAGACAGTTGGATTTTGAACTTTAAACTAATGTGAAGTTTTTTTTAAAAGTATTGTAACTATAAAGTACAAGTTAAAGTAAAGGTAGTTATCTAAAAAGTAGATTTTTTCTTTATTATCAATTGTTATTTGAGATGTTAAAATGGTAGATAAAAACTTTCATTTTTTTACTTAGTTTTTCTTTAAAAATTTTCTGAAGATTATGACTTTTCTTTTTATTTTTTTAATTTTTTTTTTCTTTTAGAATTTCAGCATTTTTATTCTTAGTTTTTTTTTAAAAAAACTGGGATATTAGAATATTGATCATTTGAACTGGAAGTTTGATATTACTTAACTTTTTTGGATTTATATAAATTGGTTATAAAGGAAGGCTAATGGGATTAGTGAATTTTAGTTTTTAATTTTTACTAATTCAAATTGATTAGTAGAGAGACCATCAAAATTAAAGATATTAGATTACTTAGAAATGTAATCAGATAGACCTAATATATCTATTTAGATTAGATAGATTATTATGACTACTAGTTTAATGAAGTATTAAAAGAACTCTGCTTTCTTATGTTCATAAATTCCTATCCTAAAATATGCTAATTCTTTATATAGTATTCTTTAAACAAGTACATTTATTAGTAGATGAAACTCAAAATAAAAATATATTAATTCTAATCATTTGTATACCATTTTGCTAATACCTGTAAGGATCATAGGGAAGTTTAATAAGACTTTGTTTACTTATAAGATAGGTCACCTCTAGGTTTAAGATAAAAATTATATATAAAATTCTTTGCAAATCCTACTATAAAAGGGGCCTGTTAAAGTGGGGTAGAATCACGTGATTTAAAATTATTATGATTTAATAAATTTTTTATAAACTAAAATTAAAGTGAACTTGAAAATCATTAAATAAATGTATTTTGCCTGCTTCGCAAGTTTATTTAAGAAGAAAAAGTGGATTTTGAACAATGTTTTTGACTTTACATATAAGCAAATGAATTTTGCTAATCATACCCAAAAAAGGATAGAACAATTTTAACAAAATTGAAAAAGTTGAATAAATCAAAACTGGTGTTTTAAACCTCATTTTGTGCTCTAAGTAAGCTTGCAGTTAAAATGCACTTAGTATACGTTTATTTGAAAGGTTTTGTATATAATAAAGAGTTTATTTTATTTAAAAAAAAGAAAAATTTTGAAAGTCATGTGATTCTACTCTGCTTTAACGGTCTCCTATAAAAGGAAATTTTATGTTACATTGTTAGGATTTTTTTCTTTTTTAACCAATTAACCAATAGAATTTAAGAAAAAAATAAGGTAAAATCATTAGTTAAAGGGCCAATTTTATACAGTGACTTTTATTATAAGTAAGCAGAGTTCTAGTTTGATCCTTAATATGGTTTATTTTGGAGTTAGCTTTGTAATTTGTTAAGCTTAGACTATTAGAATTAAGATAAAGTTCATTTTATATGAGCTGTATTTGTATAGTATTATAACTTCCTGATTAGGGTTCTACAATTTGGAATTTGATTTGATTTGATTTGAAAATTCTTTAATTTAATTGGTTAATTTGACAAATATTTGATATTTAATTTGATTTGATTTTAAGGAACCCTATGCCCAACTGTGTATATGTGAAATCCCAAAATGGGATAATAAATAGTTTAATTTGAATAAATAGTCTAGATAGCTCCCTATGTATTTATACATTTATAAAATCTTGACTTGTTTCTTAATAAATGTGCAGTGGAATTAAAAAAAAAATGAAAATTAAAATTGTATTTAAATTATCATATTTTTAAAATATTTTTAAGTATAATAATTATTTTAGTAATTACCGGTTTAAACCCCTTCAATTCAAAATTATAATTTTTAAAGTATGTTACTAATTACTAAAATGGAAGGTCATACTGGCCTCTCTTGACGTCATCCCAAAAAAAGATAATCGAAATAAGGAGCCTAAATAAGGAAATTAATATAGATTACGTCATAATACTATTTAAGTTATTAGCGGCTAAGCCCAGTTCCATAAATTTCTCGGTCTTAAAATTCGAGAAACCAACAACAATTGAGCCGCCATATCGTATCAAAATGTTGGTTTTTTTCACATTTGATCTCTTGGTTATCAGGGGAGATTAGAAATGCCAAAATGGTTAAATTATTGCAAATATAGTAGACAAATTAAAAATTAACGATGTATAACACCAAGTTTTGTGAAGCATCATGGAATTATGATTGGATTAAGAGTACTGTAATGATCATATGATACATTCTCGGGCTGCACAAGCCTCAACAGGTGTGCGCAGATCTATTGTTTAGATTTTATAAATAGATCTTAAAATTTACTATCTAGCTAGCTTATCTTTTTTCCCTTAAAATGTCCATTTCGAGTATAAGCGATCTTGAGCCTTCGCAATCACCAAAAAATGTTCTATTGTTGGGTAATATTTCATATTTCACGTTTAGTAATAATTCTTGGATAATTACTTAAATAAATATTTTATAGCGGTTGGGTCTATGGGGGATGTCATTCCTTTTGTGAACCTTGGATTTGGTTTTCGACAACGTGGACATAACGTAATAATTGCCGCAAATTCTCGATTTCGATCATTAATTGAAGAGAAAAAATTTGCATTCAGAGAAATGAATGTATGGATCAAACATTATCATATAATTTAGTCGTCATATCATTCATTATGTTTATTTAATATTGCGTCATCTTGTAGTGGGATATGCAGCATGAATGGGAGAATACTGATTCAGGTGAATTCTTTTCTAAAAAGATTTTTATAATAATTTGATCGTAAGTTGATCTTGATCTTATGTATTAACTAATATGTAATTATAGGAAGGCGAATGGTTAAATTTTCTTCATATTCCATATTAGGGTCACCATTTATGTTCAAATTCTTAAAACAAGGCTTTCAAAAATCATATAGGTAAAAAGGACTTGGAACGATATCTTGTATTTATCTATACATATATATATTACTAAAATGAGGTTTTTTTATTAGTGATGCTGCGAATGTTTTGAAAAATATAGACTTTGTAGTTCTTGGTACGGGAGCAGCATATATGTATCCTGAGGTAAGTATTTATTTTGCTGATTCATTTGATTATAAACACTAAAAAAAACTTTTTTTTTATTGATAGTGTCTTGTTAGAAACATTCCCGTCGCTTATATTTGCTTTTATCCATGGGCAAGTACAAAAAGTTATGCAGGCGTATGTATATTTTAAATATTCTAATTAAACCTAATTCCAAAATTTTAGTTTATATTTAATATCTGGATAATTTTTAGGCCGCTTACGGGCGTTCATTTGATTCGTTACAATGGCTTCCATTTGAACTTAATTTCAAGATATGGAAAACTGTCGTATGTTAAATTTTTTGCAAAATATATTTAGATTTAACTTATTTCATTTAATGATTAGTTATTGATTTATAGGATTACGTTGCCTCATTTTGGTCAGACATTGGCCTTTTACCCGTAAGGAAATTTCATTCATTCATTTTTTCCTTTAATTTAGATTGTCAATAATTTTAATAATTAAAAAAAATAGATATATAATAAGAGGCTTAAAGAACTTGGATTACCGAAAGCAGGAAGGCTTCCATGGTTGCCAGGTGGAGCTTTTGAAAAGAATCAAATTCTTGTTATTCACGCGTTGAATAAAAATCTTATCCAAATCCAAAAAAATCCGTAAGTTTAAAATTGTAGATTCATAGATATTTGAAATATAGATTTCTTATAGACAAGGAAACTTATTTTTAATGAATTTAACCACTTATAGGTTAAATCCACTAAACGAGGTTCAATTGGATTATCCATATTTAAGTATTGAGGAGGAATTAGAAGATTATGTCCCTCCAAATGATCTAGTAGAATTCTTATCAATAAAAGGAAACCCTATATATTTTGGATATGGATCAATGCACAGTTTTAGTGACGTAAAATCTCGAGTGAGTATTTGGCTGCGAGTAATGGACCTTTTACCAGAAAATCAAAGAGCTTTGTTTTCAGGTGTTGGGAGGTAAGTCTTTTTATATTGCCGTACTATTGAATCTTTACATTTTATTGACTCGATTTTTTTTTTTTAAAAAAAAAGTGTAGAGTCTGAAGAGTTGAATGATGCTGTAAAAAATGGACGAGTCTTTATTCTTAACCATGTTCCTCACTCTTGGTTATTCCCACAAGTATCTTGTGTTGTACATCATGGAGGAGCAGGTACTACACATGCTGTTATAAGAGCCGGTGTTCCATCCATTGTGGTAAGCATAATTTGTAATTTTTGAAATCTTTTTTATAGTCTAATAATAATAAAATTAATAAAATGGACTATTTGATTTATTTTTGGTTTATGAAGATCCCGCATTTTGCAGATCAACCTTGGTGGGCATCAATTTTATATCATCTTGGTGTTGCACCTAGTACAGGAATACAAGCAAACGCAGTTACGACAGAAAAAATTACTACAGAGTTATTAATTGTATTATCAAATAAAGAAATCAAAGAAAAAGCCGATAAAATTGGATCTAAAATAAGAAAAGAACAAAAGCGTTCACCAGTTTCAAAAATTGTAGCTTATATAGAAAAATATTGGGAAAAGACGAATTGGGACGTACTTACATTGGATGACGAACAGCAAAAAATAAAAGAAAAAGAGCATGGATATCCCGTCAATGAAAATTATCCTGAAAATGAGATTAAGAATGTGCTGGACGGGAACGATTTTAGTCTTACGTCACATGACGTTTTGTCTGCGGAACTTCGGGAATGATATTATATAGTAAAAAAATTTTGATTAATTGTAATTTATTATTTTATTTATTTGGCATGAAATGTTCATAGAGAATTATAGAATTAGTACCATGTTATAATAATTTAGTATTGTATGTTAATTATATATAAATTAATTAATTAATGTAAAATCAGCTATAAAAATAAAGTATTTATTATTCATATTTTATCGTAAATATTATAAATAATCTCTTAATCTTATGATATAGTATAGTATTAAGAGAAATTTATTAACATTAAAATTTCAATAACTTCAACAAGCTTAAAGAAAAACATACAATAATTAGTATATTATTAAATTGAAATTGAAAAATACTTGAATTCCAAAAAATGAAATAAAAATTCTAAAAAATAAGAATACAAATATTATTTTAGTCTATTTATTAATGCAAATTTAAATTATAAAATTATTAATTATAGTAAATAATTAAATTTTTAGGAATAACTAAATTGAATCAACTTGAATTACAAATTGACTTCATTGGTTTTATTAACTTCATCAACTTTAAGTTAAATTGAACTGAATCATAACTTGAAACCCTTTAAATTAAATTAAACTAATCTAAACCAGTTTGATTTGAATTTAGCAATACTATATATATTGGAAATTTATAATTATATATATATTTTTATTTTAAATGAATATACAGTGATTTAATAATTTTTATTTTACAAGTTAATTTTAAAAGTTATTATACTAATAAATAAAGATTGTTGCTAATTTTCTCTTCAGGTAAAGATCACTTAGGGTGATTTCACCTAGGTGATTTCACTCACAATTAATTTATTAAATTTATTAAATTTGATTGGTGTAAATTTTAATATTTCTTACTTCGTAATTTGTATATAAATCCTCTGTAAATTTTTTAAAATTTTTAATATTTTTACACAAAGTTTATAGCCATTTATTAATTTTTAATAGATTTCATAAATTATTGATTGAAAAAAACAAACTCATACTATTCAAATTACTAAATTTTTTGATAGGAATAACAAAAAAAAATAAGTCACAATAATAAAGAAAAAAGAATATGTGAATAAAAAAAGGAAAAAAGAATGAGGATAAATGAAAAAATAAGAAGAGTAAAAGGGAATGAAAGAAATAAAGGAGAATTTCAGTTAATTCATATGCCATATTATGCAAATATTTTAAATTTTATTGGATATATTTTTTTAATTATTAGATCTAAAAATGAAAAGACGATTTTATATAATCAAAAAAGGTATAGTTATATAAAATGTAAAGGAAAAAGATTAATTTTTAAAAGATAATTGGTATCTAAGAATAATATAGCAATCATAACATTAAGAATATTTATTATATAATATATATATCAAATGAAAATGTAAATTAAAATATTGAATAATAAAATTATAATACAGTCAACTTCCTTTATAGTCACTCCCGTTATAGTCACATTCTACTATATAGTCATACCAGTTGAATGTTCAAAATACTTTATTATTAAAATCTATCCTATATAGTCATAATCTATCTATAGTCACTATCACACCTATCCTCAAAAATCTTATATTAAAAAGAACTGTTTATAATAATCACAGTTATATAAAGAATATATTAAATAACTTGGCATCTAATAATCGTATAAAGATGTACCATAGCTTGTTAGAATCGTCTCATTGAGATGAATCGAATGATAGTAGTTTTATCTTTTTACGATTACTGACTGATGAGTTATTCAACAAAAGGTTTAACATCGGCATTATAATATTTCTTGATTTACGTTTACTGGGCCATTTAACATTTTGCTAAATTTTTCAGTACCTAGTGATTGTAAAAAGACAATTAATAGCTCGTTGGAATCGCCTCATCAAGACGAATCGAATGGTAGTAAGGTCATCTTTCTGTGATCAATATTGACGGAGTTACTACTTAAAAACATTTAATATTTTTTAATTTCGAAAATTGATCTAGTGATTAGATTTCGATGTATTTTATACCATTAGATTCATTTTATCAAGACAAATCGAATGGTAGTAAGATCGTCTTTCTAGGATTCTAGGATCAATATTGGCAGAGTTATTACACAAAAACTATTAATTTTTTTTAATTTCAAAAATTAATCTAGTGATTGGATTTCGATGTATTTTATACCATTAGAACCGTCTCATCAAGACTAATCGAATGGCGGTAAGATCATCTCTCTACAATTAATATTGGTGGAGTTACAATACAATAAAGTTTCAAGTATAATTCTAGTCAAAATTATGTTAATTTTTGGCCAGAATTATGATATACTAATATAAAAAATTTTTTATATAGTCACATCTCTTTATAATCACCAAATATGGACTGTCCCAAATGTGTAACTATAAAGAGAGTTGACTGTATGTAATTTTTTCTATCATATAATTTTATTTTAGCATATAAATAATTCATGTTTTATTATAATATAATTTTATTATCCTTAAGATATACTTATTCTCTTTTGGTTTATTAATATTTATGAAGATTAAAGATTGCTTAAAAGTAGTTTGAAAATATTATAGGAAAAAATAAGCTGACCTAAAAAGATTGCTGAGGACCCCGGATATCTCCAAAACAGGTCATAAGTCACACTTTCGGCAGATTGGTCCATTTTTCAGGGGCTCAAAAAATCATTTTTTGTAAATATCTCGGCATCCAGTAGTCCAATTTTGATGAACTTTTTTTAAATTGTAGAGCTAAATGAGGGCTACAAAATAAAAAAAAGTTCATTAAAATTGAATTACTGGATGCTGAAATATTTACAAAAAACGATTTTTTGAGTTTCAGCAAAAAGGGGTGTTTTTGGCCAAAAGTCCATTATGACCTTTATATTAGATATCCGGGGTCCTGATTGCTGTATCTGAAATTAAAAAGAAAATTCCAAAAGATTTTGGCCAATTAAAATCAATTCTGAAATCAAGTCAAAATTCAATTCTAATTTTAGCCAAAATTTAAATTTAGCTGAAATTATTGTCCAGAGCGTAGTGAAGGACTATTTATTGTACGGAACTAGATAAATTTGTAGTACCGGTTTAACTCATGTATTTTTTCCTTCCTTCCACCTACGTCACTATAATTTAGCCCCTGCTTATGTCCTTTTATGTTTTGTATTACATTTTTTGTAACGCTTTATTTTTAGCAACCCATTTTGTAACACTTTGTCACATTTTTGTAGCACTTTACTGAGAAAATTTTTTTATTCAAAAACAAAAAACAATTTTAAACCGTGTTTTCCATCTCGAGTAGCCTTTAATCTTCTGCTATTCGTTCTTTTAATCTTATACAACTTTTTATATTCTGAAGTCTGTTAAAAGTAAAGTGTCTAAAAAGAATGTCATCAAGAGAACGAACGCGAAAAATTGCTACAAATGATAAACCAGCCGCAAATTCCTTCCTGCCGAGATCTATAACTGCTTTAGTTAAAGTCAGACCTTGCGATTTATGAACTGTAATAGCCCACGCAAAAGAAAGTGAAATTTGCAGGCGAGAACAAATTCCAGATTTACCTTCCCACATACGCCGTATTGGAGCAATAGGTACAACCGGAATTCCTTCTATGTTCGTTAGAGTTGGGCCATCATACTTGTCAAATGAAACCAGAATAACGGTTGGTAAAGAAGTGTGTTCTGCTTTCTCCTTATATAATATATCTGTTATTGTTCCTATTGCACCATTTACAAGACCAGCACCAATCCAAAGATTTGCAGTGAGCATAACACGTGTATTTCTGGCTAATAATAATTCAGATTCAAGTCCCTTTGCTGTCTCCGAATCAGCTTTTGAAGCTTCAGGGTCGCCTGTATGAACCGCACGAATTTTGGCAATAGGTTGGTTTAATGATCGAAGCTTCTCTAGATTAATTCTATCTACTTCTTCCCATGTTGGAATAATATTAATTGCATTTAAAAAAGTTTTTCGTTCTGATTCAGTAAGATTTTCGGGAACTCGTGTCATTAATAATTCCCAATCAGATTGTGTAGATTCTCCATCACGCATGCGAGTTAGGAGATCTCTAAAATTACGTTATCTATCTGAGTTGCTACTTTGTCGTTACACAGCTACAAGTTTATAAATTTCTTGAAATTGGCTATAGGCTTTACATCCATCTTCAGATAAGTTATTTGACAAATGAAGATCCTTTGCATACATGGGAAGATCACGTACTGGAGGAAGCTGTCCAAAATCACCAAAAAGGATTAAAGAGCGGCCACCAAAGGGAATATTGGAACATTCCGGAAATGCTTGACGCAGCCGCAGATCGATTAGAGCGAGGAATCGACGTCCTACCATACTCATTTCATCAATGATAAAATAGTGTGTATCTTTTAGTTTGTTTTGGAGTTTCCTCAAAGATTCACCTTCAAGTTCATATGTTGTACCAGTTATTGGAATTGAGAGCGTCGAATGGATTGTGCTGCCTTGAATATTGAACGCTGCAACTTTCGTTGGAGCGCGTACAATGGTGGTCTGTTGCAGTCTTTCCCGAATGGCATTAATGAGGTAAGATTTGCCAGTTCTAGCAGTACCCATAACAATGATTTGTAAAGTTGATTTGAGGTCGCTGCAATATAATGCGATTCTATTCTTTCAAATATTAACTTTGTTTTTCGTTTAGGGTTTCATAGTTAATATTTGCCAAGTTTTTTCTAACTTGATTTACGTCACTATCATTAATTGCCCGTTGGATAAAGCTTTCCGCCTCTTTCATTTCAGGATATCGTAACTGACTTTCATTGACCCAATCATGATTAATATCAATATCACAGACATCAAAACCAGCTGAATTACGTGCCTGTCTTTCTGACATCATCTCAGACAATACCATCCAGTCAGGTCAAGGTTCATATTGTTCTTGAGTAATGTCTTCTTCCTCGTCCTCAGAACCATCAGTTTTTTCAAGATTATCCACAGCAGGTCCTATCAAATCGGCAGGATCAGCATTGATCTCTAAAAGATGTTGGTTATACAGATCTATCCATGAACGAGTATTATTCTGTGTGAGACTAAAAAGATCCTTATAATGAACATGTAGAAGAACTTTTATTCGACAAAACTCTTCCTATTGAGGACTATTACGAATTGGAGATGGGCGCGGGCAGACACGTACGATATTTTCTTTATCGCATTTTACCCACTTGTCTTTAACTAGCTTGTATTGTGAGTACAATCTAAACAACGAAATTTCATTA